AAACTTTACAGGCTATAGCGTAGGACCCTTTAGTGCACAACTTGCTGATGTCTTTAAAAAAGCGAAGCAAATGTTTACCCACAACTGAGTTGTGCAAGGCATCACTCTATGTGTAAGCTTCCTAGCTTCACATTTTGGTCTCAGAAATGGCCTTAGCAGTTAAACTCAGCTAAGAACATAAGGCACCGCATCCTGGTGAACGAACAAAAATATCAATAAAGCAAAATAGAATGATGGTCACTTCGACTTTTGGTTGATATATTCAACAAGGAGACAAGAACACAAAGAAAGAAGATCATAGTGTTCAGCTGCTTATAGTAACCATTTTTCACGCTGCAGCCTTCATCCTCTTGACTCATAAGCATGAGCCAGCACATTGCTCGATCTCTGGCAGAATTAAAACTCACAACTGATACTCTTTAATGGAGCATTCTTTTTTAATACCGAAAACAGCACCCGCACTATGAAAAAATAGTCACAAGCGCCTTCGGTTCTTCCAACTGGATTTATTAAGTCCAAGTACTCCGACATTGGTTTCACAGTGCGAATGGCTATTAAATCAGTGGCCACATGGTTAGCAGCGAAATTCTATAGACGTTGAGACATTGTAGGTAGAGTGTTAGTGTTGCCATAAATATACAAAAAATAAACATACCTTTTCACAGAAGTATGCTTTCAGATAACCATTCACAGTGACCAAGTTTTTTCAAGTTTGTCTGGTAGAACTTGCGCGATGGTCATTATTCCTGTGAGCAGGCATCCCTAGGCTTTCGTCAGTGTTATGATACAAATTGAGCACCAAGTAAATATAAGTGCCTCTGGATCAACAAAAATATCTGTGCATGCGGCAGTTCTCGGTTGAGGCACATGCTAAGGGAACATGTCACCATGTGTGTTTACTCCCGGCCAGCTTTTGGGTGCAACATGGTGAATGAGTTTAGTAGGCTCCAACTTTGGGGCCTCCTGATGCTGTCTATAACATGTGAGCCCATATCCTTGACGATGCAATAACACTGAATCAATAACCACATTTGTTCACCACATAAACCATATTAATACACTAGCCTAACAGAGCATTCCAATCTTCCATGCCCATGTTAACGCATTGGCTTATACAGTTCCTATCACAGTACTCGCAACATGCACAGTAGCTTAAAACTAAGGGCACTTGCTTGGGCCAGTTCATATCTCTCCATTGCTCTGTGACTGCGCACCACTTAAGACGAAGACTTAGAAGACAAAGAACCACAAGAGCATAAGCGTAACTCATGTGATTCCTCGTCTCCTAAGTCTTCATCTTTTAGGTGGTGCAAAGAGCATAATGAATTAATGCACTGTATATATGTTTTACATCCTATCTCTTTGCTAATTGCAAGCAGCCTCAGGTGAAAGTTATTCAATAATTTGAGCTTGTGTTTGAGACTAACTGTGCAAGGTTCAGTGTTAGAACTGCCGGCAAGTGTGTATTTTTCTACAAGACTATGAAAAATACTTTCACTGGTAACATGGATTTGCAATCAATATCGTCACAACAAGCATAGAAAATTTGCCTCAGTAGCAATAATGTCAAGTTACATATAAAGAGAGACGAGCATTCCAGAGGGCAAAAGCGTCAAACTCATTGCTCATCTCTCGCAGCAACTGCAAAAACTGCTATGGTGGAAATCCTGAGCACCCTTTCTAATTCATTTTTAATAAACACTTGAACTGTCCCATGGCAATTGAAAAAAAAAAAGGTACTGTAGGATATAGGGAAAGAGGAAACTGAAAAATAGGGGAAGGGGGGGGGGGCACCGATAATCAACACAAAGTAACTTATCCAGAAAATTGGACAAACTATGCACCATGTTCCATATTTTCTACTATGTTACTATCATGGCATTCCCAAAAGTTGCAAGACTACAACCACAAAATACACAGCCATAAGCACACCTGAACATTGCACCTTTCTGATAATTACTGTCATGCTTTGAAAGGCATCCCCAAAAATAATTTTTGGGAAGGCTGCGCTGAGGTTAAAGTCTCAATAGTACTTTTCATGGCTCTCCTATGCTGCTAACGAACATTTTTTTTGCTTACCTGAAGAGCTAATGAAGGTGTGCGAAGAAAGAATTGCTAAGTGATGCCAAGTTTATGTTCGACTGCCAGAAACTAGCAATTTTCATTGAGCACTATGAACACCCGCATTTCGTGTAATTTACAGACTTACCAGCATGACATGAAAAAAATAAAGAGGCCCTTCAGTGGTGTGATTCAAGTAGAGAGCATAAAAAGCTAAATGATGGCCATGAACAAACGAAGAGCATCTTCGAAAACATGAGCGTGAGAAGAGTACAGATAACAAATTGTTTGTAAGAAGCCAGATGTGTAATCTTAACTTCCTTGTGAAGTGTCCTTATGTGATACAAGTGCTGCTGTCAGGCGAAGCTGCTATCTGTCTCTGCACTTTTATCTCGTATGCCTTCTGTCTGCCCACAGGGCACAGGAATCAGTGCATGATAAATGGAGTTGCACCCATGCGAGGTAACTGCGCATGCATTTGATGAGTGTCTGCTTTCAGACAGTGCATGTAAGCACAGCATGAAACGAATGCGTAATAATAAGTCCTTGCCTGCAATGGGCCCATCACAGTTTTACCAAGATTATTAACTCTTCAATGCCTGAATTATGAAACTGCAAAAAAAAATTGTTCTCAGTTTGTAGCTTTAAATAGCAACCTTTAATTAATTCTACAGTTAAGTTCTCTGAAATGCAAGTTTAATGCAAGTATACTTTTAGGTGTGTCACAAATTCTCGATATGATACAAAAGCGAGGACCTTGCAAGAAAACACGTACTCCAGGACTACGTAAAATGTTGTGTGCAACATCTTGAGTGTGAACAAACCAAATAAACAAGATTATTGATAATAGAACTGGCATCACCCAGGCCAAAAATAACGAAGAAGGAAAAACTGTTCGTGTTTCACACTCTCCGCCATCAGCTACAAAACAAGTGGTTCTATATTAGAGTATGTTACACAAGACGGCGCCAGATTTTTCGTTCTGAAAGCTACATTCCCCACCAGTACTTGACAACTAGCATCAAAGGCGGCACACATTTCGTGACTTGCTTGCTCTAAGTTTTTCGTTATGTCACGAATCGGCGGCACTCGGCAATGAAGGGTTAAAGAAGGCATACCAGAAACAATGCACGTGCACTTACATCACACAGGTGTAATAGGAATGCACGTGACAAACAATATGGAATGCATTTCAACTTCAGGGCAGTGTGGTACTGAATGCTGCATGAGAAATGGCAATAATGCTCTTTTTTTTTTTTTTTTCAAGCAAGATACCAAAACGAATAATTTTTTTCAGAAGCTCATAAAAGCAGGGACCGCCACACGAACCATGTACTACAGTAGCAATGGGTACAAGAATAGATAAATAAGTGTTTAAAAAAAAAACATGCAAGCTCCGTGCAAGATATGATGCTAGAGCTCTTTTTTTTTTTGAACAAGACATTTGAACAATTTCGCACAGGCAGCATCAGGCAGCTAGAGTTCTGCAGTTTGCATTCATGCTCTGTCCTTGTTCTACGCTTACTAGGTGACAGGGACAGAGAGTGCCCATATTGTGAAACACAGTGGAGGCCGTTACCAACAAAAAGAATAATGAATACATTCATTGCTTCTAATAAGAATAGCAGTGATGTAGGCAAGTTGGCTTACACAGGTTTGAAAAAAAGAGGCACTAAAGTTCTTTCAGCACTTCACACGGTAGACTCTGTGAAATACTTATTTTATCCTTAAGGGGCCTTGCTCCACTTTCCTCTAGCAGAATACTAAAAGAGCCAGAAGTGGCGCTTCAGGAATGAGCAAACTGGGCAGTTTTTTTTAAGCAACAGTTCTCCAACTTTCTGATCTATTAGTACACAGTGCCCTGTCAAATTTTCAATGCAGCTTTCAGCTGACAGAATGTCCATTTTGTGCTGCCAGTGACATCATTAGTATTGAGAGCACAAAAAAATCTTAAGCCGGCTTTACACACAGCTGAACAAAACAGCCCTAAATGCAAAACCCGGTGCAATACTTATATTACACAATATCAGCTATTTGAAAATTGATTCACTATGTGTGCCACATTAGTCATAGAGGCTGTTTAACTACTCATATGGAGAAAATATTTAGGAAACGCATATGGTTCTGTATGTGCATTAATGTACAGACAAAAGTATTGACTGTGACAGGCTTGTTAAAAATGTCTTGTTAGCCATCAACAGGCTTTTTAAGCATATAATGAAAAACACAGTTGATAAACACAGATGTGATGAATATACGCAACAGTTTAGAAAAAAAAAAAAACAGGGAAAACTTTTCCTGTGTTATTGTAGTTTTTCATTTAAATCGCCGCTAACTTCGGAAACAGTTACAAGCCGGCTTGCATCGGCAGTTAAGCTCTTTCTCTACAAGTAAGCACGCATTTTAGACTTTACGATGATATTAATTCGCAAGCTATGTACTTAAAATGGTAAATGGAAGCTTCCCGGTTCACAAATGTGCGACTACAGTGAATGTGTGCGATACCAAAAAAAAAATGCGCTGTTGTTCGGTTCTTCGCGCCGCACACAACGCCAAAGTCAACTTGATACTGAAAGCACATTTACTATGTCCCCAAACGCTAAATGAATGAGCGGACCGTGAATGAATGGGCGCGACTGACGCGGCAACGTAAGCAGAACACGCTCGACTCGAATGAGAAGAGAGGCAAGCACTCGAAAGGTCCGCGCGCGCTAAGCTGCGTATTGTATCGTTCCACTCACGGCCGAGACTGATCGATTCGCACGTTAATGGGACGAATCGATAAACTGGCCAGGAGCGCAACACGCGTGCGGTGAACACGCGTGGTGACCGACACAGCGCCGCAACGACAAATGAGTGAGCGAGCAAGCAGTGATTTGAGGGCCACTCTGGAAGAGCATGATTCCACGTGAAACGGGCCAAGAACCGCACACTTTTACCTAAGCTTTTTTTCCAGCGCCGGGCTTGAGATCACACGAGGGCCAGTCACGCCGTTGTCGTGCGAGGTGACGACGTCGTCTCTTCAAACTAGCCGCAGCTGCGGTCGCCTTCCGTCGACGTAACACAGCTCCCTACTCGTCATCACATAAACCGCAACGGCGCCGCAGCCAACACATGCGGGCAAGCCCGAGAGGAGGAGCGGCAAAACGTATGTAGGTGCTCTGTCACAGAACACCTACCAGTTTAGGCTCTGTGGCGAAACCATGGAGGAAAGTAAAAAGGAAAGTTTTTCTTTCCTCCGTGGGCGAAACCAATACCACAAAATGGAAATAATGGTAGCGGTGGCGTTGTAAACAACAGCATCTGAGACTAAAACAAATCTAGGGGGCACAGCCGAATTCATTTATCTATCTGGTAAAGGTAAGCAATTAGAGGTGTGCGCCGACTGGTCGGCGCGCCGCCGCCAAGAGTTTTCACCGCGCCGCCGCCGCCGACGCGTACTGATCGGCGCGCCGCCGCCGCCGCCACCGATGATTTTCATCGGCGCAATCGGCGCGCCATTTATGCGCCAATACTGACTTTTCACAGATTTTTCTTTTTCATCTTAATATATAGCTTCGTTTCACATTTTATGTAGCCAGTATAAACCAGGCTTCTTAGTTATCTTCATCCAGCTTCAGAGACCGAGAGTACCACTATGAACAGCTGCACAAGTTCTGCGGCCACTGCATGAAATGATATATTGGACAAATTGACAAAAAATAAATGTAACAGTTACAGTAAAGCATAGACGCTGCCATCTTAGGCTTAAAAGCAATTTTTGCTGGTTTTATATGTCGTAATTAGCAATGATTATGGTCATACGACGTTGAATGTACTGGCCCCAGCGTGTTGATGCATGCGAGTTCACCGTAGCACTATTCGAATGTTTATATGAATGCAAAACGGCGTCATTATCACTCCAAGATGGCAGCCTGTGATCGTACCCGAAACAAGGCGTATATACAGAAGAAATGAAGTCGTAGCAGTGCAGCACGAATGCAGTGCGTTAGGTGAAGGACTACACAAAGCCCCGAAGGATGAAGTCGAAAGGGAGAAGTTTAATGGAGATTAAAAGTGTCGAGGCATAATACATGCTCGAACCTACTCAGGGTATATCATCACCTGTCCGTGGTGTTAAAGTTGATGATTTTCGAGGATGACCACTCATATGCAGCGTCTCAACATGCTGCAGAAAATATTCACCATCTGTTTTATTCTTTAACCTCCGTTGGTACCGGCCTTTTCAGGCATCAGATATCCGGGATGAAGATGCCAAGGCAGTAAGATGGCAAGGGAGAGAAAGGAAGGCTGGGGGATCAACCAGATCTTGGCATCCGGTTTGCTGCCCAGCACTGGAGGTGGAGAAATAGGGGCAAGAAAGGGGGTGTAGAGAGACAGAAAAGAAAACGCATGTGCACTCAGGAGTAGGATGGCAAACTTAACAGAGGATTTATTACGTTCTGTATAGACAAGGTGAGAGATCTCTTGCGGATGAGCTGGGTGGCTCATTATAAAGTGTGCGTTTTGACTAAATCATGTAATGGGTCCAGAATGTGCTGTTGAATCACGGGACACACACACCATTTCTGACGGTGCCACTCACACTCGCTCAAGTCAACGTCTTTGATTGGGGCGTGGTCACCACATTGGACCTGTGACGCCAAGAAACCATTGTGGTCGTCTCGTCGAACGTCTTATGGTGTCGGAATGCCACCTCACTTCTCGGCTAAGATGGACATAACACGGCGGACAGCAGGCTGGCAGCCCTTTGGTGACTTGTTTGATGAACAAAGAACGCCTCTCTCCCCCGTCAGCCCAGGCGCCGCGCGTAACAACGCTATCCAGTGGTGAGCAGAGGCGTATTAAGCTTGTCTGAGGCCACCAGTTTTGAAAATAACAAAATAAAATTTTAAAAACTTGCCAGCAGAAAGTTTACAAGAGACGGCTGGATTCGTCAATATTGCGGAGACACTTAAGCGGCATGTCATATATGACGTAGTCCAGCAAACATATTTTCATCACGTAACTTCAACGGACCTACAGGCACTGGGAAAGATGAATAATAATTGTTGCGGGCAGTGGTGATGTACTTCTGTTGCGGAGGTAATGCTCAGAATCAACAAAATAAATCTTAACATTATATTCAGGTCTTGATAAACAGTAAGTAAAGTTAGAAAGCTCCTCAGGTGGCCAAGTAATAAATTACTTCACCATACTTTATGGTGAAGTAATTTGCAAATAAATAATGCAACCGCTGTTTAATTGATATTCAATGACGTGACCGCAATCAACGGTGTGTCTTCGCTATAAAAACTGGAACGTTATCTGCGGACGCGAGCGGGGGAATGCAGCGGAGAACGAATATGTCACGTAATAAAAGCGATGTGATGTTGCACATTTTCGCCCCTACAACTCCGTGCCCTTTCGCTTGCTCGTGATGCATTCGAAGGAGCTAGCCAAGTCTCGGGTAGAAGTCGAGCAGAGTAGCCGGGGCTGATAAGAGGAACGTTTGTATACACTATTTACACACTAAAGGTAGCGTAATACTATATGTTGATGGTAGCATCATGGAAGCTTGATGGAAGCTTCTGAGAGCTGTATCAGAGCGTCTCGGTGCTCGCGTTTTAAGCTCTGGTCTTCCTAAAATTATCTGCAGGAGAAAACAATGGACAGTTTGCAATAATCTGCAAGGCAGCTTTTCTGTAAGGTTATTTTTTCAAAACTCTTGTTCACAGACTGCTTTTCTCGCTCATTTCATTTTTGCCATTCCCCTTTTTGAGATCTTGTTGTACTCGCGTGCCTTCGCTAGAATTTGGAGAGGTGACATTTTGTTGTACTCGCGGGCTCAAAATGAGAAAGAAAAGCAGTCTGTGAACGAGAGTTTTTGGTTGAAAAACAAACCTTACAGGAGAGCCACCGTGCAGATCACTGTAAACTGACAGACTGCATGTCCATTCAGTTCAGGGCAGTCCAAAGGAATAGACCTCTCCCTTTTTGTAAACAGTGTGACGTCACTGCGGGCACCCCGCCCCCTACACCGTCTCTCGAAACAGGTGCTGGTTGGCAAGAAAGTTCCTCCGGTGGCATCTTTGTGCATAGCAGAGCTGCTTGTCTGCATTCTTTCGACAGAAATTTCTACATTGCTATGTTCTAAAGTTACAGCTTTTGAAAGAAGGGGGTCACTGAAGGGTTACTGCCCATAGTGTGGAAATTTGCTCATCGCAGTTGGATGGACGGAGAAACTGTTTAGAGTACTGAGAGACGCGACTAACATGCAGTGGGCTTCACCCACGTAGATGATAGCCATAAAAAATCTGATCTTTTTTGAAAGCAAACCTTTTGAATGAACACGATTACTAGCTCTTTAAGAAATATTTCCATGGCATGGCTTTAAACTTACTCTATTTCCATCGTGGCATGTGCAATACGAGGTACAGCATTGGCGGCAGCATGGTTTTGAGCTGCTGTGCGCAAAGTCACGGATAAGATTCTCACTCATTACCCAAAAGTCTCATCGGAGATGAATGAAAAAAACACCACTTCTTTCCGTTGATTAGACTGAGGTTAACATATCCTCGTGAAAATTAAAGTGAAGTTCTGCCGCTGCGTTTCTCAATAAACTAGTGAAAATTCATGTTATGTAAAACCCGACATCTTGATATTATATATAATATTATCTGGCACAGTTATCTTGCTGCATTTGACACCTATAACGTGTTTTCGTACCTATCGCTCCTTTAGGCCTGATACACAAACTTCTAACGCGAATTTTCACTTCATAAGGATCGAGTCGTAAAAGTACAAAAGAGATGAGAAACCAAAATCTTCGCTGTTTCCATTAACAAATATCAAGTATCCGATATTACGAGTTATAGCCGTGGTGAAGCATATATGCAGATTCGGCAACGCTACAACATGCTTATAGCTCATGCGTAGTCGTATATATCACCAGGAGGTCATGTACTTTTATTTTTCTGCAAGCCACGCATACGTTGAGATGTACCCACTCGCGGATAATCGCGTCAAATGCATTTTTACCTTGACTAAAATGTCAGATCGTAAAGTTATAACGACAATCTGATACTGAAACCGGCCCACAACGAATACCAGTGTTTTCGCAAACAGGACGCATCGCATTATTCACACTGCACACACCATGCACAATATTCCCAATTTTACCATCTGTAAAGATGAACCAATATTGTCGATGCCTTTTAACGCACACTACACGTCACCGTCAACACTGCACATTTTCAAAGAAGATGCCGCTGTTCCTCGCACAGACCGCCGCGTGTGTTCACTTCTCGTAGATAAACAGCCAGCCGGCCAGCGTAGCGAACATTTCATCACGCACTTTATCACACACCTAGATGTTCTCTGACACATGCCACAGCTAATGTTGCCACTGTGAGATGAAGATTACGCTTTCAAAAGGAAGAAAAAAGCGACTGCACCCACACAGGCACCGGCAGGAGTGTTTTGCCAACCACCGCTTTGCACGTGCACCGGTGACGTCACGCGGTGATGTACCCTGGTGGAGGTCTATTGTCGTCTTCATCTCCGTTCGCCGAACTGGGGGCGGGGGGGGGGGGGGGGTTTGGAAGAAGGCGCCTAATTTCTGCAGCCCAGCAGGGAGCGCAGGGCGCAGCGAATAAGGATAAAAGAACGAGAGAGGGAGAAAGCGAGAAAAAGTCAAATACTGCCTTCTTTTCAACCCAGGAAAGAGAGAGAATGCACGTTCAGTTCGCCACACGGTGAGAGAGAAACACAACCTAAGTCACAGTGCAATAATACGCACAACACAGCACAGTGCAATAACATTGCATCGCACATGGAGAATAGGGTCTGCAGTGCTAGGCAGGCTAGGGCTTGAGGGAATGGAAGACTTCCAAGAACCACAGAGTGTGGGAAACATACCTGACGACGGATCCCAAGCGCGTCTCGTGGCACGTCGAACAAATCAAGCAGCCTCGATTTCAAACAGCTCTTCTTAGGCAGTCGTCAGTCAGGCGTGTCCAAAGAGTTTTTGACGAGGGGAGCCAACAGCCCTAAAGAATTCGAAGTATGACTTTCGTGTTGTCCCCACTTTGGGCGCACCTCGAGAGCGTTGACCCGGAACAAATCAGGGTAGGCTTAGCTGCAATCATTCCCCGCGTCCAAGGGGCGCCCAGCCAGAGAGGCCGATCTTAACATCTACAGACACACGCACACAAGCACGCAAATGTTAATATTTCACCTCATCGGTCATTTAGTGAAGGTCATTTCATTTCCACGTCCTTAAATGAGAGTTAT